ATTATTATGAGACCATTGAGAGCCATGAAAGTAATTATTTTTTTGAAAAAAAATATTGAAAAATTGCTGCCTGCAATTTCTATGAGCCACGGTAAGCTTGGGCCCCAGGAATTTTTCCCCTTAACCCTCCCCTCTCGGTGGCACTGCTTGTAACTATTTTGTCATTAAACGTCATATAGCGGGCCAGAAAATTAAAATAAACACTCCAAGATATAATAGATGAAAAAATTTAGACGAGATCAATGGCGCAAAGATGAGTCATAGTACCCTGGGGCGAGGGAGTGTCAGGGGACCAAGCATTTTAGTAGCCAATTACGAGGGACCCCTTCACAGTGGAATATCTAACAATACCGTAGCATCCGTGCCATAGAGTACTATAATTTAATTCGAATTCTCTGCGAATTCTAGTAGCTCTTTACTTAATATCAGTTTGTAGCGGAGCCCGGCTGCGAAACATTTTGTTGGCATTAAATTTTAAAACAAGTGTCATGCGAGTCTACTTGTCATATACATTGTTTTAATTTGCTAGTTTTAGGTGTCTTCTACTGGACCATAATGTCGAGGCTCTGTGGAGTGCTGTTTATTAGTAGGAGGGCATCGCGATCCCTTTAGACTGGGAGTCAGGCTTTGCCCCCGAAAGCCCATAGCCGCTACGCTACTGGACGATATACGGTAATAAAGCAATAATGAAACCATATTGTTTATTAAGTTATTTATTTATTTATTTTTTGCTTATATCGGACCTCGTAATGAGATAATGCCCTTTTTATTCTCCTTTTTTATTCTGAGATGCCACTCTTCTTATATGTAAAAAAATAATATATCCTACATACGGAGAATGAAAAGCACAAAATTAATAGCTAAATTTACAAACAATATGGTTGCATATCTAGTGCTTTATTATCTCGTCTCAAATTTCATCTTCAACGGAATCATAAAGGTATTGATTCATTTTTCCAACGTTCGCACCAGTGAGAGTTTTAACACACGCTCAGGTGTCATACATACGTTTGGAAATTATCATTGGTTTTGCGATATTATAGTTATAGTTATTATTATTATTATTATTATTATTATTATTATTATTATTATTATTATTATTATTATTGTGTTGTAGATAATTATAATGATAAAGATAAAAGATGAAGATAATAATGATAAGATGATGATGATGATGATAATGATAATGATGGTAGTAAATGATGATCCCCTATTTAAAACGTTTAAGTTAATGAACTACCGTTTATTCAAACAAATGCCCCAGAGAGTTTATCATTGAGAAGAGTTGGGGTTGAGGGTGGGGAAGGCGTTTAAGGGAGGCGTTCATTCGAGGGGTGTAATGATGGGTACATTCTCAAAAATAAACGCCCCTTAATTTCAATGTTGACGTGGAACTACACATAATTACCGTCAAAATGTGATTGCGTGATCCTAAACTTATTAATACAAACCAGATTATAAAAAATAATTCTACTGGAGTAGAATATTAATAAAATGACTTGAGAATGATATTACTTCCATTAGTTTTGTCTATATAGTCATTTGGTGAGGTGGGGAGTGGGGGTGCATTTATTTGAGGAAAAGAATAGGCCTACGCCCTAGAGCGTTTATTCGAGGGGGAGTTTATTTAAAGTGGGGTGTTTATATGATCTATAAATGACTTTTTATCTTTTAATATTGCTGGGCCTGTTATCCTGCGATGCCACGCCTCTTCATTTCAAAACCCACCTCTTATAGAAATGGTAGATTTATTTATAATTGTATGTATTTTTATTCTTGTGGATTCAATTACTCCGTTCAAGACTGCAAAGTTGTAAACGGGATTTAAATTATAAATGTTTAATGTGCGGCATAACCATTCTATACACTGTAGGCCTACCACCAGATATTAAATAGGACAGTGATAAAGGCCGAAACGAAACGGTGATCTTGTTTGTTGCAATGCGGACGCTGATTGGCTGAGCACACGCGCAATCGTATTGTGAATTAACTAGGCTGCGACGAGTATATAGGAAGTGTATACAAGCAACACAGAAATCGGCAACACACAGAGAGGACGATCAAATTCATGTGGATGTAAACATAGGCCTAGTATTGTTCGTAGTAGCTTCAGCACTATCGTATAATATATCGATATGTTTTCATGAATTTGCGTTTTCTCTACCAGTATGTTACAGACGACAACATCAAGATGGGAAATTACGCCTCTAAAAAATCGACTGTTCACGCTGTTAAGCAATCTACGGATGTTGATCAAGAAATCCGAAGAATTATCTACGCAATGTCTACCGGTAAGTCTGATTAGTAGAACAATCCTACTTGATTGACCTTTAAAAATTGTTAGTATGAACGCGGGGCAGACGTGATAGAACCACAGAATTCCGAGTGTTAATTCGACAATATTCTGAATCCATCGGCCTAGCTATATCGCACTTTACATTATGCCTATCATACAATAACACGACACAACATGCCTGTAACCAAGTCTTTGTGAATGCGAAATTTATCGAGCGTACCCGGAATCTATAGATGCACTCAATAGACTTATACTATAGCGTTATCTTTTATAACTCATTGGCCTCTATTAATTTTATTAGGCTATATTTTTTGTTTGTACCCGGAATCTATGGATGCACTCAATAGGCTTATAGCGTTACTTATCTTTCAACTCATTGGCCTCTATTAATTTTATTAGGCTATACTTTTTGTTTAGGTGCAGTAGTTTAAGCATGACTTGAAGTCGTAATGGTTATGTATTCTTTATATTGTCCAGTACTGTATGTGCCCGCATATAAGAGGGCCTATTTTATATTTTGAGTTTAGGTGCTGTTATGGACAATAGACTGGTTTATCTCCTAAAAGGAGGGCTAAGAAAAAACAATATCATTTAAGTAACATTAATAATATGAGTATGGCCTAAATTGCTGACACTATAGGCCTAGGCCTATATGGGTTTTCTTTATTGTTTAAACTACTGAGACGTCGGTAAATAAAGTCGAGTACTCATTGCCGACGAATCCAACTCCGCTAGACAGCGTCGTACGACGCAACCCGACGATTCGTTGTCGCGTCGGGTCTGTGCGATGGTTTGCGTTTGGGGAAGTCGCGTCGTAGAATATTAAACATGTTGTAATATTTCTCACGATGGATTATTTAAACTTTCCCCGACGATAGATCGCGTCGGGCTGCGTCGTACGACGCTGTCTGAGTTGGCCTTCAGACGACGCGACACCGTCTGCTGATTGTCGGTGGCTCTCTGAACGGATCGTCAGTAAAAACGATCGGTTGCGTGCGCGTCGTGGCGTCGGTTGACGCAGGGACGGAGCCAGGATTTTCAAAGGGGGAGGGGGAGCCGTCTTGCAATGTAGTTCTGGACGTTTTAGGGTTATAAAGTGAAAATTGCAATAGACACATCATAAATAATATTAGTAGACCTAACAATAATTATAATAATAATTCAACAGTGGCGGATCCAGGAATTCGAAAGGAGGTGGCCCATGGAGGGACTTTCACAGATAGAGGGTCCACAATCGTAATTTTGATTCATCATCACCATTTTATATAGGCCTATGTAAAAATAAATCGCCAACAAATTTCTCATGATCATTTATTAAGGGATCTTCAGCAACCCATAGAGATACTAATTAGTATGTGTGATGTTGGCCTATTATAGAACAAACATTGTCTTTGATGTATTTATTTGCTTTACACACTTCAAAGCTGTGAGTCCACAACCACCTTTGAGGAAATAGTACCACTAGATGACTGGAAATTACACTTTTATATAGTAAAATTCATCATCATCACATCACCATTATATAGTCAAAATGAAGCTCCAACAAATTTCTTATGATCTTTTATCAGTGATTTTCGGCAAACATAGAGATCTAGGTAACCCAGGACAACTAGGCCTAACAATAGCTTACTAAGCTTTAACTACAATAATAATTATAATGATTGGCAAACAAAAAATTTAGTTTTAGCACAATTTTCTTCACTTTTAGTAGTAGGCCTATTATTTATATTATTACCGTATTAATTCCCATTGTCACCATCAATATCGTCATTTACAAGCGCTATTGTAAAAACTTGCCGACTGATGTCAGTATTAGTGTTGGTAACCACTACCATTTCTCATCCACTACTGCTCGAAACATTGGAGTCATTTTCGATTCTTCCATGACGCTAGAACAACATTAAACATTATTATTATTATTATTATTAGCATCATTATTGTTATAATACAAACAATATAAATATTAATCGGATGGAAGTTATTCTCTAACTCTGTCATGATAATAAGAAAAAGAGTGTAAGTTACCTTTATTATTAATAGGCCTAATTCTTATTAGGCCCTAATATCATTGGCCACTCTGTGTGTTTTTTGTTTGTTTTTTTTTGTTTTTTTGTTTTTGTTTTGTTTTGTTTTTAATTTGTAAACACATAAAAGTGACACGTCGTCCTCGGAGTTGACTATCTATAGCGTAGTGAGCAAAATGAGTTATAACAAACCATATTCTATTTGTATTTTTAACTTACTGTACGTAAACAATTCATGCTTAATAGGCCTAGGCCTATGTGTTATAATTTTAGTATTATTATGTTAATGTGTGTTGATGTATTATATATTTTTAAAGTAATTCATTCCGGTTAGAAAAAAAGGTAATTCTACTGGAGTAGAACATAAATATAATGTGTTGAGAATGCTATTGCTTCCATTAGTTTTGTTTAGCGTACAGTCATGGGGGGTGGGGGGAGAGTGAGGAGGGACATTTAAGTGCGGCCCTGGACGGGCGTTATTCAAAGCGGGGAGTTTATTCGAAAAAATACTGTAACCCACTCCGCTTTATGTTCGCGATTGCCGACGCCACGACATGCCGTTTTCTGATTGTTAGTGACAATTGTTTTGCCAACAAAAACGATCCGTTTTGTTGGTTGATGGCTGTATAATTTGTTTTTAATTTCAGGGAAATGTCCGATTGTTTTAATCCTACCTTCAAGGGAGACGTAGTTAAATCAAAATTATCAATGAATTTTCTTTTTCTTTAATTTGGTGTACCTCAAGGATCCTGTGTTGGTCCAAAATTATTCTCATTTTTCACTAAGCCTATTGGTGATAATATTATTAGTAGACACGGTGTGCTGGCATTCGCTCTGAACTTGATCCTTTTATATTATATAGGCCTACACCAAAAACTAATTTAACATCTGTCCCCAAAGGCTTTTATGCATTTTCACCTTTTCTCTGGAACCAACCCGTCATGCTCTAACTCTTTCATAATTCAGATTTCTTCTTAAAACTCACCTTTTCCCATAGTTCATTATTATTTGCGGTCCAGGTGGAATCGCCCCAAAAAAGCAGTCTGTGTCCGGTTGCTTTTCACATATACGGCAATACCTTCAATCCTTAACTCTATTATCAGCTACTTCGCTCCACTGTCAATTAATGCATGGATTTACTTCCAGCTTCTATAATCCTGGTAAACTTCCCCGACAATATTCTTCCAGCTACACTTTCAACGTTTTGTTTATACTAGACCTAATTTTCAAGCCACACACACCCACCTCCATCTCCCGACAAATATGTACTGTACACCAACGCTCCTCTCCTCCAACACTACCAGCTCCTATGCGTCCACCCACACTGCTTAAACCTCTGAGCTCTCTCCCGCGACGCTACTTCCAGCAGACCTCCGACACAAAATCCAACCTTCAGTTTAGACACTGTATACCAAACGATCCAGCAGGCCACTTCCTATTATACATTCAACTACTCCAAAACTTCCAAATAAATATTCTTGCCAATAGCTCATACCCTTCAATAGAATTTACAAATTGACATCCTCCTTCGAAAAACTTCAGCCTTCTTTGAAGCTGTTTATATCAATCTATATCTAACAGTTTCCGGTGATTGCTTTAACCGCCCTTTAGTGGGGGCCGCCCCCCCCCCCTTTTGGGAGGTTAAAAAAAAAGAAGAAAAAAAAAAGAAAAAAAGAGAGAAAAAGAAAAAATGATAGCCCAGANGAATGCCTCAAATGTTATGTTCGGGCGTCTAGAACACAAAAATTTCGCGGGGGCATGTCCCGGCCCCCTACGACAGTGTTGTCTCAATCGGCCCAACTTTCGTCCCCCCTTCAGCCCCCTCCACCTTTTGGATATTTCTGGATCCGCCCCTGCACACAAACGTGCACGTGCATGCCTTTAGCACCTTCTTCATCCATCACACTAGCTTTATTATAAACCAATAATTATTAATCAATTACCCAAAATATTTCAACTCGACAACCTGAATTTCAAAACACCAGTAACCGTCTGGCACCATCAAAATGCGATCTTCAACTTAACCCTAGGAAGTAACTGTAACTACCGTAATTTCAAATTGAATTTAGCCGCATTCCCCAAAACAACTCTTCTGATTCAACATTCATTCTCCATCCTTAATCGCGACCTTCAACACAGCCAACAATACTTCCAATACAAAGGCAATCTGCAACACACTCAAAGTATGTGCCACCCCAGCACACCAATCACCTGCACCAGAACCATACCGTGCCTTAAATCCTACCAATATCATATCTCTACTTTTAGCCTTATTTTTTTATCAGAACTGTTTGAAACATGTCTCACACCATCTAACTGCCGGCAACACACCTCCAACTCTAAACTGCAAAATGTATTCTTTACCACCAATGTTATCACTCCATTTTAACCGATTTCAAGTACCATTTCTATAATCAACTGCTGTAGCACTATGCTTATTCTAGAGTAATTTTTGTAATCCAACAACGTCAGGTACATGTTGCTCTAGGCCTATCCTTAATTAACAGGATGATACTAATCGTACAGATTATATTCATCTGATTTTATCTCGTGTGAAGTAATACTATAGTCTCTAATTAATAAGGTGGCACTACAAGCTCCTGTATACAAGTTCGTATAATAAACTGGCTAGCATGTCAACTTCGTTTCAACTTATTACTTTATTGCTAACCTTTGGCTCTTTATATAATATTTATACATGAAAAACGATGTTTAGCACTGAAAACAGAAGTCAAAATAGTAGCTTAGGGGCAAAATCCATTATGGGAAGAAATCACGTCAAATTATTCATGGAAGACGTTTCGTGAGTGCTCCGTATCTAGTGCTTCGTATTTATTTAACGTCATTATTTTTAATCTTTGCAGACTTGTCCATATGTTCCTCAACTATAATGAACAGTGTTCATTTACCAAAGGAAGAAATATGTCTGCCAATTCAAAGCATGTGGAAAACTACACAGTCTGCTGCGCATGGTGGCTTCACAGTAACACAGACATCAGACCAACCTGCAACCGTTACCATCATCGCAGGTCAGAAGCAGTTTTTATGCAACAGAGGTCTATTAGTGTCGAACAGCGATTATTTTAAGACCATCTTTGAAACAGACATGCAGGAGAAGCATACAGGTCATGTAAACCTAGATACAATCGACGCAGAAAGTTTCGAGATAATTTACAACTTTATGAGCTTAGGTTACACAAAATTCAAGAGCGAGCAACTGTATTCAGTAATGTACGCTGTCGAGTACCTGTTGATTGATCGACTAGCGAATGCATTGATTGATGCCGTGTCCACTCGAGTTGTCAGGAGGGACGTCACGGAATCCGTTGACTTATTTCTTGCTGCAGACACGTTTCACTCTTTTCAGAAATTGCGGCAGCAAGCATTCACTAAGTTATGTTGGGATTTCACCAGATTGATTGAAAGTGAAGAGTTGTATCACCTTCCGAGGGAGGTGCTCCAGGAGTTGGTGTCATCTCCGAGACTGAATGTAAGCAGCGAACTGGACATCTTCACAGCAATCATCATGTGGACAGACCATGAGCCAGCTACCAGACGGTCATTTCTCAACGGTCTTCTGCAACACGTCAGACTACCTCTAATCAACATTGGTGATAGAGTGAAAATTATTAAGCCGATTTTGTCGCGGTTTGAAATTTCTCTAGACGCACTGGAATCGGACGGCATTTATGAAGCACAAGTTGATAAATGCGCGGTTGCCATGAGGCGCAAACCAGACCACTTATCGACGCTGATGAAACCTAGAATTAGAATGGGAACAGAACGTATACTTCTCGCCGCCAAAATTTGCGCAGTTAATCCAAATATAAGATATTCGTCAGTAAAGTGGTTTCTTGTCGACCCACGCGCAGGAATGGCAGATGATGGCTTGTTTCTTACCGATTTTAAGGAACTAGAAAACATGCAGTCTTTAGACACAATCAGTGTTGTTGGAGACGGTAAAGTTATCTACACGCGTGATTATAAGTCTGCACCTCATATTCACGTAATAAACTTAGAAACTCGAGAAAGGAGCACAATTCCTTGCCCTCATCCGCGCACTAGTTCGCGTGAAGCGTCTTTGAAGGGTATATCTAAAAGCAGCAAGAAAAATAACGAAGTGTTATTGTTAGGTTTACTAGATAACTGCTTATTCGCTCTTGTTATTGAAAAACTTTTTGGAAAATCATTAACTTTGTACTCCTGTAACCTTGAAACAAAAGAATGGCAATTTAGAAGTATCCTGTCTACGACGCATTGCTTTGATGAGCCTAGTGGTATTTTTTACGGAGGACTGCTGTATATTTTTACGTATATTACGAAAGACAGACGCGTGGCAGGCCCAGTGAACCATTTCGAGGTACACGCTTTTGACCCACGGACTGACGTGTGTTCGATGCGTTCCTACCCAGAACCCCTCAAACCCTTGACTGTGGTAGGAATGGCCGATCGGTGGATTTACCTCGTGCCGACCTTTGGTCATGATTGCGTTTACCGTTACAATACGGTGAATTGGGACGTATCAAAAGTGACTGATTCTATGCCGTGTGACCACGAAGGTATTAATGACATCACTCGTGCAATATTTGTAATTGAATGCCGTTTGCTCTGCGCGTTTATCGAAGCTGGACATGAGCGAATGAATTTATGTGCTTACTTATTAGTGAATGAACATTGGACCGAAATTCTCCAAATGCCTCTTAATATTGGTATAACGATTCCAGACAACTGCAAGAAATTGGTTGAAGTCCAACTTAAGGGATTTTGTATATAGAAAATTTGATGTAGGCCTAGGCCTTTTATAATATAATTATCTATATTTATATAATGTTCATAAAAATGGCTGTAACGTACAAAATAGACCTAGAGAACCATGTTAACCTATATCAAAATACGTACTACCGTATATAATAATGTAATAAATATATATTTATGTAGGTTTATTGAATTTCGAGTGACTGGTGTTCCTCTACTAGGCCTATTTATATAAATTGTAATTTCATAATCTATTATATAAGTAAAATGTAATACACTTCCATGAGCCTCTGCATTTTGATAGCAAATCAATCCGCCTCGTCAGTCGGAGAGAAAAAAAAAAAGGTTCCGTACATAATATGTGAATATACGTTTTTACGAGCGAATAGTGTCGAAACCCTTTACCGCAAAACCATTACCTAGACACATATTATGTTGGGATTGCTTACACGCTACGGGTGTTACCATAATTTATACGGATTGTACTGAATGAATGCTTTTATCAATCCACTTAAACTAGTCTTCCAATTTACATGAGAGACCGACCTCAGTTGAATACGAAAAGCGTCTAACTGCGCCGCTCGTGAAACTCGTCATCTAAAATGCCAAATGTTGACGTACACTAATACGTGTTAGGTGCATCATGAAACAGTCATCCAAACTTGTTTAATGTAATGCGCTTTGGCGTTCGTTTCCGCTATTTTACAAGCTTTAGACAATAAATTTGGTGACTAAATACAGTAAAATAGTAGAAATGCTAATTTATGATTCAGATTTTCTATTACTTGATCAGGTATCTCCATGAATACGCTTAACATTGCTTTTATTAACCTGATATAATAGTGCATTGTCTATATGTTGCAAACAGTGTTCCATCTGTGCAGTAAAAGCAATGTTAGAAGAACAACATAATGGTCTAGGCCTATAGATGAGTTGTTGTTTAATAGCAACCTATATCCATTTAAAATTACCTTTTCAATAATGTATACCTGATTTAATTCCTGCCAGGTCTACATAAGTAAGACATATCCGAAATTTAATTGAACAGTATTGCAGGCATTTGATGAAAATGCCGAATTATAGGCCTAATTTGATGTGGATTACAATGCTACTTTATATTATGGCAGGCCAATATAATAATTTGTTCATAAATTCTATATACATTATGACGGTATGCATAATATGCAGTGATACCGTAGTGAGGATGGTAATAATAATAAACACCGTACTGCACAAAATGACGATTGGCTCTCTCCATTCTATGTACCCCACATCATAGTAGCTCTATATATACTTGTATAAGAGACAGATATAATATACAACTTCAAGGGATCAGTGACAAAATGAAAACCAGAGATTACGTTTTAGTGGGAACATAAACAATTTATGTCTCCTGCGACCTCAAGAAAAGTAGCAGGACTTTCTGAAAGTACACGTCCTGATGTTGACAGGGCTAAGGGCCGGTGAATCGTTTGCATATAAAATTCATGTTCTAATATATGCCAACCTTGTCACTTTAATTTATTAATGTCTCTCTTCTTCAATCATTTATTTTGAATCGGCGCATTATTAAATGTTTGATTATGTAATTATTTTGTTGGGGAAAGCGTGCTCAACTGTATACGTTTTCATAATACTGAGGTGCGTATTGTCTTTATTATTCCCCTAAAGCTCTGTCCAGACTATCAAACAACTGTATATTATCATGATGTGACGTCATCATGACCATATTTAGGCATGTCACATGTTTTTGTTCAAATAGCATTTGATAATCTGGACAGGGCTTCAGGCCATGTTTGAACCACTGTATCATTACTTTGTCATGTGCAGGTTTGCGCATATTTTCAATAAGATGCATTGTTAATTTCCTCCTCATTTAATCCGCAATTTTAATGAGATAGTCTGAGAATTTTATACATAACACAATGATATATCCATTTACCTACCTATAAAATACTTTTCCCGCTTCATACTTAATCCTATTTGGGTTTTTTTTTTTTGCAAATCTTCAATTCGGGTCACGTGCTGTTGAATAGGTATGTTGTGTGAAATTTGATTTTAACGTTTTCGATGACGTAAGGTTTACAAGAAGTGCTGTATCGAATAAAACATAACGAGAAGGATCAAATTCATAATTATATCACGATGTTAAAATGATATTTTAAATGAAATGAATTGATAACGGCAACAAACACCAGATAAATGTGATGCTGTACGCCGTTGTAATAATATTTATATTAAAATGGTAACATTGCGAGTTAGATATTTTATTTTGGTTTATAATATTTTAAATGTGATGATGATAATGATAATGAAGAATAGGAGAATGATGGTGGTGATGATGATGAGCAGGATAGGGATTATAATAATAATGGTGATGAATAGGACGACGATGATGATGATGAGGATGATGATGATGAAATTGAATTTAATCAAATTCAATATAGGGCTGTATTGATAGATTTATTGGTTAATATTTGACCTTTATTATATTATTATTATTGTTATTATTGATATTATTATATTTATTATTATTACTACTACTACTAATTATTTTTGAAAGTTGTGGCAAAAGAGAAAGAAATCCCTGAAAGCTGATGCGTAACGGAAAAGTAAACTTACATGCGAAATTGCTACGGTGTATCAGTTGACAGAGTATATGATGAATATCATAAGAAAATTCATCTTGCATGCGTATATGGTTAACATTTTCCTGTTAGCAGATTCGAAATAATGCGAATAATGGTTTTCTGTGGATCAGATTAGTTTTCTGTAGATTAAATCAGCTTGTTTAACATTGCGAATCACGCTTTCACAAAATCACTTTATATCAGCTCGAATTATGCATTCCTTGAACAGAAATATACTTAGCATTTGGAAATGTTACCATTTCTTCTTCAAATTTCCTGGTGACGTCATCATTATTATAAGGTCATGTGGCTCTGGAATTCGACTAAAATGTTCAGCTCTAATTCCAAATAAAGCTTTCGATCGTATAACTGAGGGAATGGTATTTTGAAGTGGGCCCATATATGATGTGCAATTGTAAAAAAAAAAAAAAACCTTTTTTTGCAGACGATAATTTTAGTAAAATCTAAAGCGTGAGTAAGAAAGTATTTCGGCAATAATATCTCAGCCTATGAATCAGTGGCGTAGCCAATGCGCGGGGGGCAGAGGGGAGCCAGGTCCCCAGATTTTGGCCTCCCTCTCGCTGCCCCCCCCCCCCCCCCCCGCCTGAGGTGGCTAATGAGGTTCACTGACATTTCTACATGTCGATGATTGCTAGAATTCAGCTCAACCAGTTCGTAGTTTTGACTTGCAAAACACGGGCGATTTCCATTCCATCGAGAAATATTCCACCGAGAAATGTTAGCTTCGCTGTTCTTCTAAAATCACTCAAGCGTCACACACGCGTGGCAATTAGTTTTAGTTTACAGCACAGTAGGCCTATACATATTGGCAATCACAGGCATTTATACAAACTCACAGTATTCTCTACACACTTTCTTCGTCATGGTTTAAAATGTTCTGTATAATGAATACACTGCTATAAAACAATATGATGTTCATTTTTATTTCTTTAATTCCATACAAATTTCACTTGATTTATACATTATTATTTGAGAGCAAACGGGCTGGTGAGGTCGCGTAAGATACCGTAGCCATTTATATAGCCATATTGTAATATTTTTCCAGCTTCGCCCCTGGGCCCTTCGCAGCCCCCTGACCCCAGCATTTGTTTCCTCGCTTCGATCAGAACACTTCCCCCCACCCCATAATACCACGGACCTACACTTCCCCCTGTCTCTTATACAC